ATAGACCTTGATAAAATTAACAATTATTTACAAGAGCATTCTACTTCCACAAGTTTAAAAGAAATTATCAAGTATAGCAAAAGAATATTAGAAAGCAACGAGGAAGAAAAGGCGTTTAAATTAGCAGTTCATTTAGCCCATGATTTAGATACTATTTGCGACCCCAATAAAGCGGGTTATGTTAAAGACGAGGAAGAAAAGAAACATTGATTAGAAATATCGAGAGAGTTATTTGAAAGCACAGTAGGAGTAAAAGAGAAAAAATAAATATATTATATAGATTGTCGATTTAGCCCTAATTGGGTTTTCTTGACTCAGTTAGTTTTTGTTACTCGGAAGGTTCTGGAAGCTAACTGAGGGTTAGGGCTAAATTTAATAATCAAACATGAATCTTCCGAGAATTCAAGTAGCAGACTTAAACACTGCTTACTTACACCCCTTAAAAAAATACGAAAGAAAAAAGAAGGAGAATTACCTTGCTTTTTTTCACTCAAAAGATACCCGCAAAAAAGACCGTCATAAACTAGACCGCAAAACCAGATATTGAATCAACTTTTTTAAACAAAAAAACTACCTTTTAACTCCGTTAGCAGGAATATTTAAAGGTGTTTTAAGTGGTGGACGTGAAAACCCTTACATAGCTTTAGATATAGATAATAAGAACTTGTTTTTTTTAAAGAACTACCCCACGGAACCTTATTATTTGGAAAAGCAAAAAGATTACTTATTCGCTCATTTGGTTGGGAGAGAAAAGGAGGAGTTGAAAAACTTATTGGAAAACAAACCCAGACAATTCAGAAAGAAATGAGAGGAAATTAAGTTGAAAACGGAGATATTGAGTAAATGAGATAATCCCGCTAAACTAGTAGCTGGTTATAAAGAAAACGGAAGACCAAAACCAACCTGAGAAGCAGTGGGCTGAAATTCTCCTGATTATTGAGAACCCAAAAATAGAAGTTTAGCCGCTTTGGCTTTTACTCATGAAATAGTATTAGGGAAAGTTGATGCTCCGCTGTTAGATTTAGACCCCAACAAGAAAGATAAGGAGGGAAATTACAAGATTAAGCATGAGTGATTAAGAAAAGATTTGAGTGAGGGAGGGAAAAAGTGAAAAGCCCTAATCAATAAGCACCGCATTCCTTACTACTGAAAAACAGCTACCCCTGGCAATTCTTTATTACCGGTTCCTTATCATTTAATTGGTTCAATGAAAGGTCGAAAAATTTATCACCAAGATACGGGACAAGAAATAGGTGATTTATTGAGTCAGGGTGATTTAGTGGCTTTGCCAGTTGGTTCAGATAAAAATAGACAACTAGTTATTACTGAATGAGGCAAGAAATTGATTGAAAAGCATGGAGCAGAAGGAATATTGAGGAAAAATTTGCTTGCGGGGGAGATTGAGGAAAAGGTGGAAGAGATTTTGAATGGTGTTTACTTGAGTTTGAATAAGGGTGCTGCTATTCAGAAACCTCGGAAACCAATCACCAAAGAATACTTAACTAATCGGCAAGAAAAAAGCACGCAGCGATTAAGGCTAATTGAAGTTAAAGTATTGGGAAAACAAAAGACTTGTTTAAAAGATATTTGAAAAACCTTTTATCTCGACCAAAAAACCCAGCAAACAGGCTATTTTCTAGTCAATGATTATCAGCGAGAACAGGCCTTTAATAATCTAACTATCGGAAGTACCCTAAATATTTGTTTAGTTCAAGGTTATAAATACCAATTCCTCAGCCGATTATTGCTATAAAATAACTAACATACAACACAATAACCGAAAACACAATACAACCTAAAATAAATATATGCTAAAAATCGCCATTACCAACGAAAAAGGGGACACCGGTAAATCCACTATTGCCTGCTTACTAGTGGAATATCTTAATCATCTTAACAAAAAAGTCCAATTAATAGATACCGACCCCATTCAAACTTCCCAAACCTGAGCTAATAACTGCAAGCAAGAAGGCCGTCAAGTCTCAACCAACCCTGCTAATTACCAAATCGTTGACACCGCAGGAAGTTCCGGCTCAGCTCTCTCCTGATTAGCCCAAGCTGACTTAATCTTAGTTCCTTTTCGTCCCCACTATGCTGATTTACAAACAACTATTACCTGATTTACCAGTTTAAAACCCGACTGACAAGCCAAGATAACTTTTATTCCTAATCACTGACAAAACACCAAAGAACAACGCCAAGGCTTAGTTGAATTAAAAGAGGTAATTGCGGAGGAAAAACAAGGACAAATTACTAATCCGCTCACTAATCGCCCGGCTCTCTATGGAACTCTGCTAAATGGCAGTAAAAATAATTTCTTTGCTCGCAAGGGTTTACCAACTGAAATTAAAGAATTGTTCCAGGAAATATTAACTAACTATGAGAAAGCCAACTAGAAGCCCTAAGAAAAATATTAATTTGCCTTTAACCAAACCAGCTTTTAAAGTCAAATTTACTCAAATTCAGGCCAAAGTTTATTTTCGTTGTGATACTTTTTTACTTGACAGGATAAAAAACGCCCTCGCTAGTCAACATTTAGCCGGTAATTATCAATTTCCTAATCTCAGTTATTTTTTTCGTTCGGCTCTGCATGCTTATCAGACAGGAATGCCTTTAACTTATCAACGAGAACTTAATAATCCCAGAAAGGAAGTGTCTTTTCGTCTCACGGAAGAACTAATGACTTTTTATAATTCGTTGCCGTTGAGTTCGAGGACAGAAATAATGGAACGGGCTTTGGGGAGTTATTTTTATCAGTGTTTTGGGTAATATTTGCGTGTTGTATTGTATGGCAAAAAGAGAGGAGCAAAGAAAAAAAACAGAATAAAAAATTATAAAATTTTTATTATGACATGTTGTAAAGCCTTTACTTGCTACAATAGCACCAATTATTCCTGAAATGATTATTGTTCCTATCACGAAAAATGTTTAGAAAGACTACGAAGAAGTTATAGTAGTTTTGGAAATGTTGAAGCATTAGATACTTTTGAGACTTGATTTAATGGAAATTGTGGTTGAGTAGTTACTTACGATTATTCCTCCTCTTCCTCTTATCCTTATTATGCTTGAATAGTAATTTATGAGCCATCTTACCGGAGCATTAGTGATGGCATATCAGCCATAAAGTATGATAATTATAGTAGTTCTTCATATGCCAAAGATAAAGCTCAGGAGTTAAAGAGAAAATTACAAAATAGTAGTGGTTGATATGATAATCCAATGTTAGAAGTTCATCCCAAGGCTAATTCTTATGAATATTACAGTAGTTTAATCACTAGTCCTTATGTTGAGAAAAAGCAAGTAGGAAGTTCTACTAAAACTGTTGATGTTCCTTTGTTTTTCGTTGGTTATAGTTCTTCAACTCCTTCTGATTTAGATAGGCATTTCAAGCCATTAGATATTGTTTGAGTTAAATGTGTAGATAGAATAGTTGGTAAAAGGTTCTATCATGTTGGTATTTATTTAGGTGATGTTGGTGGTAGTGATAGAATTTGCCATTTTTCAAGAGAGAGAAACGGAGTAAGGCTTACTAGTTGAGATGGATTTTTAAGTGGCACTACTAGAAAAATGCTCAGGTATCATCCAACAATACCTTTTAAGTATCCACGAAGGATAGCAGAACAAATTGCTTGAGCATATTCAAATGATTTTCGGGAAGGTCAATATTGCTTGCGAAATAGAAACTGCGAGCATTTTGCTAACATGTGTGTTTATGGGGTAAATTATTCTGGGCAAATATATGATAAGAGAGGAGCTTTTAATGCTACAATTGGAATTACGGGTGGTGCTACCATAGGAACTATGGGGGGATTAGGTATTTTTAACCTTATTGGTTCAATTGCTCTTGCTCCAGCTACTGGCGGAGCATCTTTATTTTTGGGAGCTGCTTCGACTGGATTGGTAGGAGTGGGAACTGCTGTCACTGTGGATGCTTGCGAAAGATTTAGTGAATTAAACAACAATAAAGGCTCAACTATTAAGTTGACTAGTGAAATGAGTGAAAGTAATGGCAAGTTAGGCGAGAAAGATAATTGATTGTCAGATAGAATAAAGGCTAATATTGAGGTTCCAGCTAAGGAATATTGTCGGATAATGTAATGGTTGCTGGATGAGTGTTATTATTTTCTTTGTTGTTGACTTGAATTCTTACTAAATGAAGTAAGTGGGGCAGGAAGAGTGTCTTGAAATTTTTAACTGTTTTTTTTTTTCTAAATTCAATTATTTGTTTGGTTTTTATTTTTTTTGTTTATGATTTGCTTGGTTTTGGTAAGCTTTTCTCGTTCTTGTCTTTTATCTTGTCTATTATTTTTTTCTTTCTTTGGATTGTTTTTTCTTAAAAAAAAAGTAGCAAAAAAAAATTTCCACCCAAATGGCTAAATTGAGTCTTTTCTCACCCCAAAACTTTCTTTTCTGGTTTCCCTAATTTTTTAGGTGTTGTTTTTATGCCTTTTTTAGGGAGTGTCTAATTGTTTTTTTTAATCTAAAATTACTTTTACTTATAAATATTTGTATATACCCATATTTTAATGTTTTTTAAATGATTTTCCGCCTATTGTGGTGAAGGAGATGATTTTGGGGTGATTTGGAAGCGATGGTGGGGGGATTTTTTTTTGCTACTTTTTTTTATTACGCAATAGGGGAGGGTAAAACATTAAAATAACTCATATTTTTGTTAGTAAATATTAATTTACTATAAATATTAAGAAAGAAATATTATGAAGGGTAAGAAAAAAGAAACCTCCCGAAAGAAACACCTATTTAAGAATATTTATTATTTAGGCTGTAAGCAATTAAAATCCTGTGGTAAGTTAGATAGTCAAAAAAAATATTGTTGCCCTTGTAAAGTAAAGGGTATGGAAAATTTAGAAGTTGACAACTTATTAGCGGACAATTATCAAGTATTACTTAATCACTATCGCCAAGGAGTTATTAAGTGTTCTTGCGAAGCTAGTGCCAAAGTGCGGGTGAAATATTTTTATAGTGATGGGGAAGGGTTTATTAGTTGTGAAAAGTGTGCGAAAATAATCAGAGGAGCGGGTAAGCATGGCGTGATTAAAAATCGCAATGATCCGAAATTTTGAGGGTTGGAGGTAAAAGAGAGAGTTTTGTGTTTGGAGTGTTTAGGGAAATTGGTAGAGAAAATGCCGGTTAGTAAGAGGTACGTGTTTGAATAAGTATGTGAGGAGGGGTTATGTTTAGACATTAGACAAAATAACTTATATGACCCGTAAGCAAGAATTAGCCATAGAAATAGAACAATTGAAGCAACAACTCCGAGAGAGAGAGAGAGAAGAGTGAACTATGAAGTGGAGCCTTTTGGTGGTGAATTCTCTTTTGACCAGTGTTGGTTTATAAGTGTGTGCAGAAGTCCAAGCAAGGAGCTGAATTAGATAGTAAGATTAGAGATTTACGGGAAAAGATACAGAGTTTAGAAAGAGAAAGTTGAGAGTTGGAGAGGAAGTAATAAAAAGAAAGCCCAAAATTAAGTAATATATGGTAAACAAAAAAGACTGACTGACAGAACTACAAGAAAAGAATAAGAAAATGCCAGTAAAAAACAATGGAAAAGATTGCCGAAAAATAACTCACAGTCTTTATCTAGTATGAGACCCCAAAAGCAAGAAAATAAGTCAAGAATGCCGAACCCAAATAGAAACAAAATAGGCGAACGCTTATTCTCTTATTTAATCACTACTTTTTATTACCGATTTCGGGAGAAAATAGGTTTTGCTTATGGGAAATTAGAAACTGAACCAGTAATTAGATTTGGTGGGTTTGTTTTAGAGGAGCCTTACCTTAATGAGAAAACGAGAAAAACCGAAATCAGACAAGGATTTCACGAACGAGAACCTTTGCTTGTGCTGGGAAACTTGATTATTCCTACCCGCACCATTTACCTCAACGAATTATTTCTTTATCACCAATTAGGACTAAGGCACTATTATGAAGAAAAAATAGAGTTTGAAAAGCTATTTAACTTTAAGGCTGTAATATATGTGTTAGCTCATGAAATAGTCCACGCAATTCTGACTGACTTTTATCCCGAGGAGGAAGAACATGGAGATTTACATAAGAAATTAGTAGCCGAAATGGTAAAAATAATTGAGGCTTCACCTGAATATCAGGAATTAAAAAAGTTTTGAAAGTAGAATATGAATGAAAGTAAAACAGCACAGATAAAAAACATAGTATCCAAAATAGACCTTGATAAAATTAACAATTATTTACAAGAGCATTCTACTTCCACAAGTTT